GTGTGTGTGTGTGTGTGTGTGTGTGTGTGTGTGTGTGTGTGTGTGTGAGCGTGTATGTCAGCGGCATCCAACCCCTACTCGCACGCACGCACGCAGGTCCGCGCAACTGCCTCCCACTACTTCTCCCCTCACTCCGTGGAGACGCGGTGACGACTGAGGCGCATCAGTCGGCCGTCCAGGCGGTTGTTGCGGCGGTACAGGGGAAACATGCGGCTCCGCGAGCAACTCAGTGAGCCCGGGCGGCTCACGCGGCCCTGCTCCGCCGGGTAGTGTTGGCCCCGCACGGCGAAGGTGTAATGCAGCGGCTTGTACAGCGCGGCGACGTAGGCGGGGTCGAGCCCGAGGGCAGCCGCCGCCTCGTCCAGGCTGCAGCGACCCCGCCGGTCGAGTTCCCCCACCGGCCTCCACCGCGACTCGCCGCCGACGCCGCGGAGCGCCCGCACGACGCGCAACATTTTCGCTCTTCTGCAGGGAGGGGGGGGGGGGCGCAAAAGAAAAGAAAAAAAGAAAAAGAAAAAGAGCCGGCGCAGGGCAGTGCGGGCGACGAGGAGAAGACGCACGGTGGGAGGCACACGACGGGGAAACGTCAGCCCACAGGAATACATCTCACACAGACCACGAGTGACGCAAACGAAAAACAAACAAACAAAACAAACGCGGTACAAAACAAAAAACGTCGCAGCGCCAGCGGCAGCAAACACACACGCACAGTCAGCGCCCCAACAAACGAACGAACAGAACCCCCCCCAAAAAAAAACACCCGGCGCACCGACGCCTCCGCGCTCGCGACGGACGGCGGCGGGAAAAAGACGCACACCGGCACGCAGCCGTCGCGGGGAGCCGGCAGGCACGCGGCCAGCGCCCAACGGCGGCCGACGGGCACCCGACAGACGGCCGCACCCGGAAAAGTCAAACAAAAAACGCACCGCGGGGAACGCACTGGGACCCGCAAAAAAAAAAACACACACGCAAAGGTATATAGGTATGTACATCCCGGCAACGCATATACAGGCAAACACACACACACACACCCGCGACGCGCCTCTCGGAGAGGCACGGCGAGGGCGCCAGTCGGTGCTCCCGCGCGCAAACGGCGGCAGCGGCCGCAGACGGCGGGACCCCAGACCGACAGCGCA